GCGGCGCGGAGGGAGGTGCCTCAGGCCCAGCGCGGCTCTCCCGGGGGCGCGCACCTCCCTCCAGGCGCGCAGCTCCCGGCTGCCCAGCGCCGCGGGCTCCGTGTGGTCCACGGCAGCCCGGTCCTGCCCGCGCTTCCACAGCTCATAGCGCTCGGGCTGCAGGATGCGCACGAAGGCGTCCATGGAAAAGGTGACCCGGGCCTCCCCGCAGCTGCACTGGGAGGCCACCTTGCCATAATCGATCCAGCGCGGGGTGGCGAAGTTGATGGCTTCTGCGCAGTTGAAGCCATGGTTGAAGCCAGAGTGGTAGCCATAGGGAAACGTCACCATGAACTCGCCAGCCTCCTGCGTGATCCGACTGAAGGGGATCCCGTTGTCCTTGAGGACGGTGGGCGAGATGAGAGCCACCTTGTGCCGCAGGAAGGCCTCGCAGGCGCGGGCGCTGCCCGGGAAGAGCTCCGTGGCCAGGCGTTCCAGGCGCTGGCCGTGCTCTGGGGGCACCGCGTACCAAGTTTTGGGCTCCCCGAAGTGCAGGTAGTTGATGCTGTAAAGGTCCATGTCCTCCGTGTGCCAGGCGAAGGTGGTCTTCCACATGCCAAAGTACAGGTAGGGGGTGTTGACCCCCTCGATGACCACGCCGCACTCCTGCTCCAGCAGGTCCTGAATGGTTCCCAGGTGTCCAAGGTTCCACTCCTTCGTGTTTTCGTCAAACAAGGAGCCGCTGATGTCAGCGCCATAGATCGGAGAATCGTAGAGACGGGTTTTCCAGTATTTTCGCTCCAAGTCCTCAAAATCCGAGTGTGGTGGAGTCCGATACTTTCTGCCGTTCGCCAAATGGCAATACTCCCCCACTGTCATGGCTTTCTTCTTTTTATGGTACTGAGTAAACACACCTGCCTGCCCGGAGACCACCTGCTGGAGGGGAGTGGCTATTAAGATGTCACTGATATCATCGTAGGTCTGTCTGGCTTTCCAGTCCTTGGGTGGAATCACCTTGGCGAGGCCTGCTCGGTGTGCGCCTTGGGACTCCATGTAAGCAATGTATTTATCAAAATCATTAAACTCTTCTTTGGTTGGATGAAATATCATTATGGTACAACTCGGGTTCTGAGCACAGTTGGCCTTAGACTTCATAGCTTCCATTAATAAGCACCAAACTCCAAAGGTTTTTAGTATGTTCTAGGTAGTTGAGGATGTTGGAAAATGCTACTTTTTAAAAAATGCGTTTGAGTATCTGAGTCACTAAGAACCACCAGTGGACCTTTATGCAAGTGAAATGATAATGTTTGTTAGGCTTGCTGATTCACCAAGGAACAACGCTCTGGGTAGAAGAGTTGCCTAGAACTAACAGTGGCTGAGCCTGTGATGCTCCTCAGTCGGTACCTGGCGCTGTTCCTTGGAGGTCTATTGAATCACTCAGTCTTGGGGTGGGTGTCCTAAAGGTTATATCTTCAGGGCAGTGTTTAAACAAAGCCTAAAAGGAAGAACATAAAAAGTTTGAAAATTAATGTTGCAAAAATTATTAGAAAGTTACAAATAAAATACCACTATGGAATATTATTGTACACTCAGAGGAAGGCTAAAAGTTTATAAGATTGACAAAACAAGAGGTGGTGTAGACATGGAACAATGGGAAAGGTCATACTCTAATAAAGAGAATGGAAATTGTTAGATTCACCTTGGAAAACTATTTGGACAGTATATACTAAAATTGAACATCTGCATGTGTAAAATTGAACACATACATGTGATATGACTGTTACCACATGTCTAGGTAATGTGTATGCTCTGCACTGAAAGTCACCTCCAAGAATGTTTATAACAACATTATTTCTAGTAGCCAAATACTGGAAACAACCTATAAGCCCATCAACAGTAGAATGGATAAATACATTATGGTATATTCATACAATGGAATATAATACAGCAATGAAGATTAAAAAATTACACAGAAATATAAGAATAACTTTATAATCATTATACTGAGCAAAATCATCCAGACTCAAAAGAATAGCTATTCCATGATTCCATTTTTATAAAGATAAAAATGAGGCAAAGTAATCTATATTAGAAGTCAGAGTAGTGGTTACCTTTGGGAAAGAGAGAGGTTATGAGTGGGGGCATAAGGAAGCCTCTAGAGCATGTTAATATTCTTGTTTTGCACCTAAGTGCTGGTTACATAGCCATCAGAAGAGCTAACTGTGATAATTCATCAAGCTATGATGATTTCCCCAAATTTCCATATGTTTATCTAAAAATAGAGTTAAGGTGCAGCTCAGCCACAATAGTAGGATGCACAGAGCCCACATAGTAGACACCTCTGAAGTGCCTGGTTCTAGTGAACAAGAGGCATCTTGCTATAGGGCACCATAGGACCTCTTCTTTATAGGGTCACCACTTTCCAAGATCAGGAGACATAGCTGACTTTCCTAATACATAGAAACAGACACAGAGAATTTGACAAAATGAGACAGAGGAATATGTCCCAAATGAAAGAAAAGGACAAAATCTGGAACCAGAAAAGACCCCAAATAGCCAAAGGAATGCTGAAAAAGAAAACCAAACCTGGTGGCATCACAATTCCAGACTTCAAGCTCTATTACAAAGCTGTAATCAACAAGACAATATGGTACTGGCACAAAAACAGACACATAGATCAGTGGAACAGAATAGAGACCCCAGAAATGGACCCTCAACTCTATGGTCAGCTAATCTTCAAAAAAGCAGGAAAGAATATCCAGTGGAAAAAAGACAGTCTTTTCAACAAATAGTGTTGGGAAAATTGGACAGCCACATGTAGAAGAATGAAACTGGATCATTTCCTTACACCACACACAAAGATAAACTCAAAACAGATGTAAGATCTAAATGTGAGGCAGGAATACATCAAAATCCTAGAGGAGAACACAGGAAGCAACCTCTTCGATCTCAGCTGCAGCAACTTCTTCCTAGAAACATCGCCAAAGGCAAGGGAAACAAAGGCAAAAATGAATTATTGGGACTTCATCAAGATAAAAAGCTTTTGCACAGCAAAGGAAACAGTTGATAAAACCAAAAGACAACCGACAGAATGTGACAAGATATTTGCAAATGTCTTATCAAATAAAGGCCTAGTATCCAAAATCTATAAAAAACTTACCAAACTCAAAACGCAAAGAACAAATAATCCAATCAGGAAATGGGCAGAAGACATGAACAGGCATTTCTCCAAAGAAGACATACAAATGGCCAACAGACACATGAAAAATGCTCCACATCCCTCGGCATCAGGGAAATACAAATCAAAACCACAATGAGATACCAGGTCACACCAGTCAGAATGGCTCAGATTAACAAATTAGGAAATGACAGATGTTGGCAAGAATCCGGAGAAAGGAGAATCCTCTTACACAGTTGGTGGGAATGCAAGCTGGTGCAGCCACTCTGGAAAACACTATAGAGGTTCCTCAAAAGTTGAACAGAGTTACCCTATGACCCAGCAATTGCACT